ACCATCCCTCTGTGATAAAACACAGATTGAGTCCCTGAAATTTCACTCTCAGGGCTTATATAGTCAGCATACCTGGAGCTAACTTGGGACAAAAATAGAAGGTGACTCTGGATACCACCTCTGAAATAAAGAACTTGGCCCCTCCCATAGGTCTCTTCTCCCCAGTCCTACAAAGGATGCAATTTAAATCAAGATAAAAGGGAACAGGGAGCCTGTTCCTGGGATGGAGTTCCGTGTGGGGCTCACTGCTCAGCAGGGAGTCTGCTTCTCCCTCCCCTCTCTGCCCTTCTCCAGGGAGTCTGCTTCTCTCTCCCCACTCTGCCCCTCTCCAGCTCATGCTCCCTCTCTCTCAAATAAATAAATAAAAACCTTTAAAAAAAGGATAAAAGGGAACCAAATTGGGTGAAACTGATCTCATGCCACCTGCTAATCCCCAGCACAGTTTTAGGGATAGAATCTGCTAAACTTGTGTTTTGAAGTTCAAACAGAACTTGTGCCATTGCACCTTAAAGTCTTCATCTACAATTCTGGCTGACAATAAAGGCAGCACAAATTGTTCCAGTCAATAGTGCTTCTCTGGGGTGCCTGGGTGGCTCAGTCGGTTAAGCGTCTGACTCCTGATTTTGGCTCAGGTCATGAACTCAAGGTCCTGGGATGAAGCCCCTCAGGCTCCATGCTCAGTGCAGAGTCGGCTTCAGGATTCTCCTTCTCCCTCTGCCCCACCCTGTGCTCTCTCTCAAATAAATAAATCTTTTTAAAAAAAAAATAGCGTTTCTCCCTTCTGCAAGCAAGCCTATCTCAACTATATCTATATGAATCAAGATCAGCCACAGTGGCCTGTGCAGCCTACTTTTGCAGAGTCAACATACCAGTCCAGTTACCTCTAAAAAAGTAGCTTGGGTACGGAAGCTAGTTACTATAAGCTGCTAAGGCCAAGAAGTGAATGGTCCAAGATCACTAATGTGCCAAAGACCTGTGCCCTGGCACACCAGACGTCCCATCTCCACACATCTTATTTTGGTTCCCTAATTCCTATCAGAGTGCCTATTTCTCAAGATATACAGCCAAAGCATATTTGCATGTGTTGGGGCTTAAGGAAGAAAATTGATCTTATCCTTTCCCTTCTAAGTTCTCAACCACCTGGGTAATAGATTAGGAATCAGACTAGTGAGGATCAAAATATCAGCATTTTTTTGATGAAGCTGTACCTATGGCCAGAATTGGGCTTTCTAATACCATTTACCTCTCTCAACACTCCCAATTCCTGATATTGGGATTACCCACCCAAAGGTGAATATACAAAGGCAAGACTTACCTGGAGAGCTGCAAGGGGGCATGGCTGCTCCGAAAGTGGAAACAGAGAGGTGCTCTTCAGACCTGCCTCTGGAAGGCAGGTCTGAGCCTCAGCAGGTGTGCTTATTAGGTGAAAGCTAGATCTGAATGGACTGCACACACATTGCAGGCAAAAAGTTACAACAGAAAGAAGAGAGCTTAGAACATGCATGTGTGCACGCATTTCTGTGTCTGTGCATGCGCACGTGTGCGTGTGCGTGTGTGTGTACAATGACCCTCTTCCCTGTGTCTCCATCAGAGAACACAAACTTCCTTTGGGGAAAAGTGAATAAGAGGTAGAGATAGGCCAAGAGTAGTATCCCAGTATGGAGAATGGGGAAATAGGGACAAATGACAGATTCTTGTCCCTGTGGACAGGGCAAGTCCTGTACTCTTTACACCCTCCCAGCAGGGACTGGGGATCTAATTCCTTCGCATCCAAGATCTAACCTGGAATTCATTCCCAGCTTCCAACCCAGAATTCAGGAAGAGTTCTAGCAGTAGATTCTGTTAATAGATTGGGTTATTCCTACATCAGAACTCAGGATGGCCTGGGTGGGGAAGAACCCAGAGGTTCAGGCTGACCCCAACTAATCCCCAGACTCATTCACTAATTGAGCTCCATCTGTTTAACAAAAAGAAGCAAAAGAAACATCAATAAAACTAGGAAGCCCCTTCCAAGACATTTCACTCATAATCGTTTTTCAAGAGCTGTCTGGCTGCTGGAGTGAAAGGGTAACAACAATACCCAAGACTAAGAAAGACTAGCCTATGGGACGCCTGGTGGCTCAGTCCGTTAAGTGTCTGCCTTCAGCTCAGGTCATGATCCCCCCCCCTCACCCCCCACCCCCCCGCTTGTGCTCTACCCCCTTCCTTGCTCAGTGGGGAGCCTGCTTCTCTCTCTGCCCTCTCCCTGCTTGTGCTCTACCCCCTTCCTTGTTCAGTGGGGAGCCTGCTTCTCTCTCTCTGCCCTCCCCCTGCTTGTGCTCTCCCTGCCTTCCCTGCTCAGTGGAAAGCCTGCTTCTCCCTCTGCCCCTCCCTCTGCTTGTGCTTCCCTCCCTCCCCCCATCCCCAATAAACAAATAAAATCTTAAAAAAAAAAAGACTAGCCTCTAAATCTTGCCTCCATTATCTGGCTACTTTAAGTGTTTTGAGTGTCCCCCTCCCCACCATCCCAAGTCCTAGGAGTTGTCATTGGAAGACATGCCACACTCAGATTGTCAGAGACCATCCCCAGACAAAAGTCCCCCAGGTCGAAGAACCCAAATAAGGACACTGCTTAGAAGCTTGAGAATCAAAAGTTATTTATCAAAGGGTGGTTGGAAAAGCCAAGCATTCTTGAGCCCAATTCCAGAATAGTCAGTGGGAGTCTCTCTCCTGTTAGCTTCATTGTTCATCTACTCAATGGCAGATCTTCTATTGAAGGAGACAAAGGGGAAATAACAATCCTCAAGAGGGCCCAGAGTGCCCTTCCCATCCAGTCCCAGCTGAGGAGACAAACAGAGCAAAAGGAGAACCCTTCTCACCATCAAAGCCCACCTCCACAATTGGGGACCTCCTCTTCCCATATGTAACTCAAAAAGAGCCCCACCCAGTCTGCTCAGTCTGCATCAGGAAACACTGACCTCTTCAAAGTCATAGGGCATACCCTTTGGGTCCTTCTTAAGGATCTTTCCCTCACTTAGTGCAGAAGCACCTAGTAGAGTCCCAATGTCAAGTTGTATCACTCACTCTCTCAAGGAAAACAGAACGCCCAGGACCAGACAATAGAATTGGCACTGAAAATTAATCTACCAGGTCAAAAGATAAAGTCTCTCCCCAAATGCCAAACAGTCATTCCCATTGTAGGTCCACATGGTGTGGAAGGGCGGAATGGACTCAACCTGCTAGGAAAAGGGTTTTGGGGTTAAACACAACAGGCCAAGTGTTCAGCAGGAACTGGACATTCGAAGGAACTTAGAAGTGATAGGGATTAGGGAGGGAGGGGATACTGGTGGCAGGAAGGGAGAGTGGTGTCCTTTGACTAAGGGCCCAGAGAGAGAGAGGAGGTGAGGTAACTAAGCCTGAGGGAGTCACTTAGAAAGCCAGATACATAAGTTCTAGTCCTGGCTTTTGCCAGCAACTCAGCATGAGACTTTAAACTTATCTAGGCTTCGGTGTCTTCATCTGCAAAACAGGGGGAAGCAGTTTGTTTACCGAGATGCCTGTTGCAGTCCTTTGAGATTATGGCACCCTCCACAAATGGGATTGATGGACTATTACAAGACATTCAGGAGGGGGCCACAGGGACCTTACCAGGAGCAGGAAATTCCTTTCAGCCCCACCTCTTGTAAAAGGGTCACATGTATACACATTCGCACATACAGGAGCAGAGTGGCCGACGACTTCATTCATAGCAGCAGAGATACACATAGAAAAATAAATACTGCTGATGCTTGATTCCTGCTTTACGGGCAGAGGGGTCCTGAGGGTGTAACTTGGAGGGACTTCAAGGTAAAGGGAGAAGGGTCCTCTTATTTGATAACAATTTTCACCTTGCTATTCCTTCCCCAAATCCAGGGCAACCAGATCTTTGGGGAAATCCACTCTCATCCTCCCCTCCCCAAGCAATCAACTCATTTGCTGCAAAAACAAAAATGCACAGTTCCCAAGGGAAATAAGCCCCTCATTGGCCACTAAGAAATGAACGGACTCTACCACACCTGAGATTACTTGGACTGTGCAGCTGGAACCACATGCCCCTATTTCCCTGAATGTTAACAATGATCCTGAAAGGTCTTGTTTTGGACCTATCTCACCCAAAGTCACCAGAGGGTGAAAGGAGAACCGGCCTGGACCACTCTTCTATTTCTGGTGCTTTTATGGTTGTTTCCAAATTTTTAAAAACCAATCTCGCTGTGAGAGTGAGCCAAGAAGTTCCCCTCCCCAAGTAGGAATCCAAATGGGAAGAAAGGCTACGACGACGACGACGCAAGGGCAGGGTTCCAAACCATGCAACAGGACCTGCAAACAGACTCACACCGTTCCCCAGACACCAAAAAGCATCTCCCAGCCATACATTCACATGGACTCTTACATGGCCTCTCCTAGCAGAGGTAGCTGGGGCAATTGGGGAGTGGAGGACATCAACCTCCCATCAACCTGGGATCCCTGTTTAAAAGATACTAAAAATAAATTAGTAAACATTGCTATTTACAGAAATAGAAATCATTTCTGTTTCCAAAGGCCTCTCACCATCCCAGTCCTGACATTTCCAAGACTGCCACCCCTAACACCCTCTCCAAGGTCCGCCCTGGTGGGTGGGTAAGACACAGAGTCCTTTGAGACTGGAAGCTCCTCAGGCACCTGAGAATTCCAGTTTCACATCTCTGGTTCCAGGGAAGGGAGAATCTTCAGGACTCTGGGAGAGTACCGGGGTTCATCCCTTCTCATCAGTTCCAGGGGGCTGTCTTGAGGCAACCCTCCTTTTTAGGTTGATATACCTGTTGTAAGAATTCCTGCTATTTTCGGGCCCCCAGTCCCTCCCCAGGGTCCAACGTGCCTGCCTGAACCGACCCTCGAAGCGGAGGAACCAGTCTTGTGCCTTGGTCTAATGACTCTGGGAAAAGAGGGATGGGCAAAGAAAAGGCAGGGACAACGGCCTGGGGGAACCGTCCTTGCTGGGACGATTAACAGCAATGACTGTCAGACAGGCAGGTGGTGAGGCTGGGCGCCTGGCCGGGGACGGTGCCGGAGCTGTCCACCATACCGGTGGGTTGCGAGTCGACGCGGGGAGTACGACGGCGCCCGCGGTACTCGATCATGTCGGGATGATAGGCTGGGTGGCGGCGAGCGTGCTTGGTCAGATGGTCGCTCCGGGAGAACTGCTTGGGGCAGAGGGGGCAGGAGAAGCGCTTCTCGCCCGTGTGCGTCCTGTAGTGGCGGGCCAGCTCGTCGGAGCGCGTGAACTTCTTGTCGCAGTCGAGCCAGTCGCAGGAGAAAGGGCGCTCACCCGTGTGGGTGCGCTGGTGGGACTTCAGATGCGACGACTTGTAATAGGCTTTGTTGCAGCCCGGAAAGGGGCAGCGATGGCGCTTGGCAGCAGGTGTCACCGGCCTCCGACGGGGCACTGGACCTGTGGCGGGGGCGGGGCAGGCCCCAGGGGCCTCGCCCGGGACCGCCCCGGGGACCGCAGGCGCTCCGGGGACGGCAGGCGCTCCGGGGACCGCGAGCGCGCCGGAGGAGTGCGCGGGTCCGGAGATCTCCGCCGCGCTGGAGGCCGGGGCCGGCTCTGAGCCCAGGGTCGGGCCGGAGCACCGGGTCGGTCCGGAGGAGCCGGACGAGGCGCGCAGAGCTTCCTCCGAGTTCTCCCCGAAGCCCTCCCCAGAGCCGCCGCGCAAGTCAGCCAAGACGCTTGCAGCCAGCAGGTGGGGCGCGGCGCCGCCCGCGCCGGGGCTGGGGGCGGGGACCTGGGGGAGCGGGGGGACCGACGCGGGTCCCGGTGGCCCCGGACCCGGCAGAGCGGACTCCGGCGGCGCCGCACCCACCTCCGAGCCGGCGGCTCCGCCCGCACCCTCGGGGTCCGGCGGGCGGCGGTGAACCACGGCGCCCGCGGACATGGACACCAAGCACTCAGCGGCGAAGTAGTCCAGGCACGCCACGGCGGCGGACATGCTGGCACCGCCGGGCCGCCGGCGAGCGCCGTCCGAGCGCGGCCGGCCGCGGGCGAGAGAGTTCTCGGGAGCGTCCGTCCCGCAGCCTCGGAGCGAGAAGCAGGAGGCCCGGTGCGCGCCGCCCGCCGCCCGGCGCCGCCGCCGCCGCCCGCGCGGAGCCCGCCCCGCCTGACGCGCCCCTGACGCACCGGAGCCCGCGGGGGCGGCGGGACCCGCCCCGGCCCGCAGGACACCCCCTCGGAACGCGGGGCCCACCGGGCTAAGTCATTTTTAACAGCCTAAGAAATTATCTTGTCTTCGCTTTCTTGCCTCTGCTGGTGAGCCAGGTAATTTTAATAAAGAGAAAACTCCCCGATCGTAACTTCTGGGCAGCCTGCCGGCTTCGCGCGCGCCCCCCCCCCCCCCCCGCCGCGCCCGCTGGTCGTCCGCCAGCTGGGTGTCCGGCGGAGTCCGAGAAACTTTTTTTTTTAAGGGGAAAAAAAATGCTAATACCTGATATGTCTTTCGATTCATAATTACGATTGTTAGTTAAGCGGGCTGGAATTACATTTCATTTCTGTCCACCGCTGTCAGACCAAATTTAAAACATCCCCGAGTCTGCATCAAAAAGTTTTCTCATTTAGCAGTTCCACTGTTAATCCGGAGTCGGTACCAATTCCCTAAATAGATCCACTACGTAGCCATTAATTAATAGCATTTTGAACCAGAAACATTTCTAACCTTGAAAAAGCAAAGAATCCTCTCATGGTTGAAATTGAAACTTAAAATCCTTTGAGTAACGATTTAACTATTCAGCCAACGAAAGAAAAATGCATGTTTAAACTGCATTAACCTGTCACAGGCATACAAACAAATTTCCACGCTGAAATATAAATTATAGACTAGCAGCGAGATAAACACATTAAAATGGACTCCCACAATTTTAATAATAGAAAGTCACGTTTCCAATTAGGCAACATCTTTTATTTTTTTTGACAAAAATTAAAAATAAAATGCAGCAAATGATATAGAATTGCTCATTGTGATTTGTGCAGGGTTTTCTTTTTATGTGATTAGGTAGTGGTTTGATTTTATTTTTTTGCATTTCTTCATTGCTTTTTTTCCTCCTTGGATTTTTGAAAAATTAAAAACACATAGAAAAGCAAACAGGATAATTTCTAAAAATAATCATAGCACAGTTTTTGATGTACACAAGCTTTATATAGTGTTGAATTATGTGCATTTTCTTTGTAATTCTTCAGTACTTTTTCTTTTGGAAATTAAAAATACATATACATCAAGAATAACATACATTCGTGTGTTTACTTCCTAGAATAATCAAATGTAAAATATTTGTCATGTTTGCTTCAGGTTTTTTTTTTAATTATATTAAAAGATTGCAGATAGAGCTAAATGTCACTTTACTTCCCTCCCTAATTCAACTTTCTACTTCCTTAGTTTCCTAGGTAATCAGTATTATAGTGTATTCTTCCAGCATTTATTATTATACCTTTATTACCTAACTGCTTAATACTTACATGTAAATATGTATACCCATGCTTGTGTATTTTAAATTTTCCTTATAAATGGTACACTAGTGTACATGTCATTTAGCAACTTACTTTTTCTCAATATGATTTTGACAACTATCCATGTTGATACCTATAGAATCTGCTTTATTCCTTTCAGTAGTTTTATTAATATTACCAGCTATATTATTTTTATGGAGATTCCATTCTAAGACAGATAATTATAAAGTTCCTTGTCTCAGAATTTTAAACAATTGATTCAATTTATCTACACAGGTGAAATTTCTATCAGAGAATTCTTTACTAGCTGCTTTTCTTTTAATTTTATTATTTGGAAAAAAAGGTAAAGATATCTAAAAATGCAGAGACAATATCACAAGCATCCACATACCTATCATATAATTGGTGAATGTTAACATTTTGCCAGATCTGCTGGTTTTTTTTTAATTGAACTATTCAAGATTTCTGATAAAATTGAAGTCTCTTTGTACTCCTCCCCAAATCCATTCTTCACCTTTTTCTCCAAAGGCAAACACTATCATGAATTTAGTATGTAACTTTCCCATCTAGGTTTTAAGCTTTTACTATACATGAACCCATAAAAATACAGAATATTGTTTCGATTTTTAAAATGTATATGTGTGGTGTTAGACTATACATATTCTGACTTTTTCCCCTTCTTGGTATGTTTTTATTCTTTCTCTCCATGTTGATAAATATAGATCAGTTCATTCATTTTAATTGCTATATTGTAGATCCATGCATATAAATGTGCCTTCTTTATTCATTGCCCTATTGATGAATATTTAAGCTGCTGCCAATATTTGGGGCAATGCTAATAGGAACATGCGTGTACATGTGTCCCTTGCACATATGTGAGAATTTCTCTCTGAATCTACCTAGATGGGGAATTGCTAGGCTACACGCACATGTTCAGTTTTATTAGAGAGTGCCAAATGGTTCTTCAATTTACACGTCCACCACTAGTGGATGAGAGTTCTTGTCTCCCTCACATGAACTTCACCACTTTCTAGATTCAAAATTTTCTCATTTCTGATAATTTGACTTTTTCAAACCCCAGTATCTTCCTGTTTTATTTGCATTTCCATCACTACTAGTGAGAATGAGCACTTCTTCATATATTGATTGGCTATTAAGATTTCAAGTCTGTGATTTTTTTACAGACCTCATCCATTTTTCCAATGGGCTGGGTATGTTTTCATTTTTTTTTTCCTCTTGTTTTATAGGAGTGCATACATATACGCATCATATTGTCTCAGTCTGTGGCTTCTCTTCTGACTGCTTTTGATGTCTTTTATACTATAGAAAATGTAAAATGTGGTCATGTTCCTTGATCTCTTTATAGTTTGTGTCATTCGTGTGTTATAGAAGAACTCTCTCCATTCCTGATACCATGAAGATAGCCTCTTTTTTTCTTTCTTAACATTTTGAAGTTTTGCTCTTGACACTTATAAAATCAATTCCCTAGGACTTATTTTTTGAATAGTATCAATTAGAAATTTTACTCTCCCCCTTCCCCAATATGGAAAACCTGTTGTCTTGACCTACTTTACTGGGCAGTCTTTAATTCCCCCATTAATGTGTAATGCCGCCATGATGAAAATTAAATTTCATGTATTCATGGATATGATCCTACTTTGTCCTTTTCCACTGATCAAACCCATTCTGAGCCAATACCACACTGTTTTAATTATTATGGCTTTATAGTAAGTCTTCGTGTCCAGGAGGGCTTCCCCCCCCCATTTTGTTCATTTTTTAAACTGTACTGGCTATTTTGGGATTTCTATTCTTCCATACTAACTTTAGCATCAGTTTGTCAACTTCCATTGAAAAACCTTTTTGGGGGGCGCCTGGGTGGCTCAGTTGTTAAGCGTCTGCCTTTGGCTCAGGTCATGATCCCGGGGTCCTGGGATCGAGCCCCACATCAGGCTCCCTGCTCAGCAGGAAGCCTGCTTCTCCCTCTCCCACTCCTGCTGCTTGTGTTCCTTCTCTCGTTTTGTCTCTGTCAAAAGAATAAATCTTTAAAAAAAATAAAAAAAAACCTTTTTTGGTATTTTGCTAAGTTAAATTTATACATGCACAATTTAAATTTTGGGAGATACGATAATGTCTTTATAAAATTGAGTCATCTAATACATTAATATCACTCTGATTTCTTCATATCCTTCCATAACATTAGTTTATTTATAAAAATCCTTGCACCTCTTTGTTAGATTTATTCCTAGGTATCTTACAGCTTTTGTTGCTATTATAAGTGGGATCCTTTTTAAATTTTTTAGTTGGTTATTGATGCTGTTTGAAAATATTGATTTTGGAATAATCTTGTTTAGCTGAACTTCCTTATCCTTATTAGTTAAATGGTTTATTTGCATATTCTCTTGTATTTTTATATAGCTAATCATATTATCTGTAAATCACACTCTTGATACCGGTCCCCTTATCTCATTGGATGGGTGGGAACCTCCAATATAACATCAGATAGTAAGGGTGAGAGCAAGGTTGTTTTCCTGTTTCTATGTCACCGAGAATATTTCTTCTTTTTTTTAAAAGATTTTATTTGTCAGAGCGAGAGAGCACAAGCAGGGGGAGTGGCAGGCAGAGGGAGAAGCAGGCTCCCCGCTGAGCAAGGAGCCTGATGTGGGACTTGATCGCAGAACCCTGGGATCATGACCTGAGCCGAAGGCAGACGCTTAACTGACTGAGCCACCCAGGCTTCCGTCATTGAGAATATTTCTAATGTGCCATTATTATTCATGATATTTGTTATAAGTTTTTAACAGAAACTCTTTATCTGGTGAAGGAGTTCCCTTCTATCCCAGCTGAGTTTAAAGTAGGAATATTTTAAAACCATGCAATGAATACTAAATTTTATTAAATGCTTTTTCTAAAACTACTGAGATGATTATAGGTTTTGTCTTTGTTGTTAATGTAATGGGTCACCGAAAGCTTTTTCAAGTATGGACCTATCCTTGCATTCTCTGAGATATACCTGGTTTTGCCAAATGTACTATTATTTCTTTAATACACTGCTTCACGCAATTTATGAGTGCTTTTTTTATTTTAGCATCCATGTTTGTGATTTGGGCTTATAATTTCCTTTTCTTGCACTGCCTTTGTCCACATTTGGTATCAGGGTTGCAACTACCCTCATAAAATGCATTTGGAAATAACCCTTTTTTCTATTTTCTATAACAGTTTAAATGAGGTATTATTTGTTCCTTGATTATTTGGTAAAGCTCATGTGTGAAACCATCATATTTTAAAAATTCAGTTCAGTTTGCCTAATGGTTGTTAATTTACTTGAGTTAGCAATTTCTTGAGTCAATTTTGATAATTCACACATTTCTTTAAAAATTAGATACTACGGGGATGCCTGGGTGGCTCAGTCGGTTGAGTGTCTGACTCTTGATTTTGGCTCAAGTCATGACCTCAGGGCTGTGAGATCCAGCCTGGTGTCCGGGCTCCATGCTC